ATATATATATATATATACATATAAAAAACCTAAAAAAAAAAAAAAAGTTCTCAATAATTTATCCTAATTTGTAATGCTTTCAGGCCTCAGCTGTAATTCCTGACTATTTATCCCACTTTGTGTTAATCAGAAGAGAAATGACGGCATGACCTGTTCACATTCAGCATCAACACTAACACACAGAGAACCAAATGCTTCACCCTTTAGGTCAAACCTGACCCCCGACTCCATTTGTTTCAATATAACTGTCTGAAGACGTGGCAGGCAGGGAAAGGAGCAAACATGTAATCTAATTCCTCTCTTCTTTGTCTTCATTCACTCAGCGTCATGACAGATAAAGTTAAATGAGAGCAGGGAGGGCAGGGAGACAAATGACAGGAAATGAATGCAAAGACAGAGGCAAAACAATGAAGTTACAGTGAGGTCAGCACAGGGGAGCGTGTTGGAGGAGTGTGCCAGCTTTATCCTCCTCATGAATTCGATGTCATGATTCATTGTCTCTAATCTAGCTGAGAGATGTGTGAGTTCTGCTAATGAAGTGCTGACCCCCTGCGTGTGTGCAACGCTGCATTGACTGTTTAATCAGTAGAGTTTAGGCAGAGATCGCTGAATACCTCTGCTGTGGTACCAACTAATACTTTCATAGGGATGCTGCTAGCTTTATGTTACTGTTTTATCATCAGATTGCAAACAAAAATGATGCTTTCATGCTTAACATAAGCAGGTTGAATTGTATTTTAGTAACAAGAACAGCTGTTGAAATTAATGATCAATTAATTCATGTTGTCCAGAGTTGCTTGGTGTACAGGAAATAAAGTTAGGACACAGCTTGCTTTATGCAACTGTTTAATGGTCAGATCAGTAGTTAAGGGGATCATGATTAGTGGTTATGACTTCAATTGAGAAATATTTATTTTTGATGCAAATACAATACAGTCAAAATACTGTTAGATGTTTAGTTTTAATTCATTTAAATAACATGTTGTTACACAGACTTTGCCCAGTAGTTAATGCTTCTAGTTAGATGACCGTATGCTAGGTCCTGTAGCGCTACCTCTGTCTAGTCAAAACAGCAGTGAGTAACTCCATCCATCCATCCATCCATCCATCCATCCATCCATCCATCCACTCTTCCATCCATCTATCCATCCACTCATCCATCCATCCATCCATCAATCCACTCATCTATCTATCTATCCATCCATCCATCCATCCATCCATTGTTTCCATTGTTTTTTAATATAATTGTTTTTCAGAAACAAAAAAGCAATGATGGTTCAACAACCATGAGTTGGGATAATTAGCTTTTTTAATAAAAATACTACTCTTTTAGCTTTATTTTATTAAATGTTTTACTCAATAATGCAAATTGAAAGCTTACAGTAAGAATAAGTGTAGCTTTTTTAATAGTGTCTCTAATGATAATAAAGATTTTTTTTTTGTTTTTTTTTTTCGCTCTACAGGCTTACTTTCGTCAAGGGGTTGCCCTCCAGTACCTGGGTCGTCATGCCGACGCCCTGGCAGCGTTCGCCTCAGGCCTCGCCCAAGACCCAAAAAGTCTCCAGCTGCTCGTCGGAATGGTGGAGGCTGCAATGAAATCCCCACTCAGAGGTAATCTCTTCAGATTGGTAACCGTCTAACCAGCGTTCCCTGTTACTGTATCCCAGCAGTATAGAAAAATAATGAATACATAAAATACATCAACGAAAGTTATTCAATATAACCACATTAAAGATGGTGGGAAAAGTTGCCACTTACTTTTGTTGTTTTATTCAGTTCCTGTTGAAGAGAGATGTAAAAACGTGTAAAAAAAGATGTCTCTAATGATTCAAACCACACAAAGAGACAGCAGAACTCCTCAGCTTTGAAGCAGCTAGATGAGAGAAAAAAGAGGCATGGAGGAGAAGGAAAAAAAGAAGCAATCGAACCAAAGTTGTTGGATGTAACAGAAGAGACTGGCACACAATATAGAACTCAGCCTATTCCCAATTATTCACAGAGAAATCTGAATTTCTGTGTGTATTTTACTTATCCAGCGTCTCTAGGGCTTAAGAAATTGTAGTCCCCTTTTTTTTTTTTCCAGAATCTGCATGCTGTGGCGAGGAAATGAATGAGGTGATACAGAAAAAAAGTACATTTGGATGAAATGGAAATCTTTTCTTGCCTCCTGTGTGTAAATGTTTGTCATTATTGTTGGAACAAGGATACCCGTGGAAAGATCTAAAGAGAATATTGAAAACCTCCCAAAAATTAGATGATATTTTATTTTTGTTTTAAAGGTCAATTTTTTACTTTATATGTCCTTTTAAAAAAAAACACCAAAAAATTTAGATCAGGAAAATATAAGGTTGAATACATCAAACATCCATCCCAATTTTGATAAGAAGCCTTGAGATCAAGGAAAGTCATATCTCCATGTCAAATCATTCTGGCTTAAACACAAAACACGCAAAAAAATGTATGATGGAGGAGACTCATCCACGACCTCCAACACAAAACTCTCCACCTCTTGCATGTTTCCTCTGTCCATAGCGTTCCTTGACAGTGTCGTTTCTAAGTCACCAATTTAGTGCTACTTGGTCCCAATGGAATTTCCCATTGGGAACCTACTAGCACTAAGTTGCTAACCGGTTAGCAGGATGGTTCCAACAAATCGGCCACAACCAAACTTGCTTGCGAACCTTCCGCCACAACAATGTAAAGTCCGGCACCACTCAGGAGAATTCAGAAATGCAACGGTTGGAACAGCCGTTTCACTACGACTTTAAAGAGAAAATCATCATTATCATCATCTGACAACTGCTCCAATTTGCTTTTAAAACACAAATTTACGGCGGTTGACTTAAAATATGGTGTCAGGGGTCCTAGGTCTATAGTAGTGGGGTGATTAAGTTTAAAACACTATAACCTCAATTTTCATCTTTTTAAAATGTAAAAAGTTCAGGGGCAGCCAAGCTTAAATGTCATCTAAACAGTCAAATAAAGACTTCACTGAAAAAACATCTCCCTGCTTTAGGGGCAAATAGGTCTGGCAGTCATCTGTATAAACGTGGAAATAAATCCCATGTATTTTCACTATGGAACCGAGTGGCAGCAAATACAGAGAAAAGAGCAGGGGCCCTAGAATGAAGCCTTGTGGGACTCCGTAGGATAAAGAACAACTAGATTATTCGGAGTTGCCAATTTTGACACATAAAGATTGTTTGGTCCGATATGATCTGAACCAGTTGAAAGCAGTGGGCTGGATCCCTACTTATTCATTTAGACTTATTAGAATATGATGGTCAACCGTCTAAAGCAGCCGTTAGATCAAGCAGAACTAAAATCATATAGCTACCAGAGTCACAGGCCAAGAGAATATAGGAAGAGCGGAAAACAGCGGAGTGGCGGCCTAGTGGTTAGGGCATTGCGCTTGGGATCCAGAGGTTCTGAGTTCAAGCCCCAATCCCACAGACTGCCACTCTCGGCCCCTTGGCAAAATACCCATACTGCCCCTGGGCGCCGTAAAATGGCAGCCCAGTGCAACCCATTGAGCTGATGGCTGCTTCTTCCGGATCAAACCAAGAGCCTTGGCAGACAGGGTTGCTGCACTAGCTGTGATCAGTTACTTCACCTAGTGTGATTAGATGTCTAGATGTCTATTAGTAGCTAAATGATGTTTTGTAATCATAACTATTTAACAAGAAAAACTCCTCATAAGCTTCCTGCAGCCTGGAACAAAGCTATGCCCAACTGTTTTGTCACGTGACTAAATGAGCTCATTTGATTGGCTAGACGCTGCTTCACTGCATCGAGTGCTGATTTGCTTTGGCTTCAGTTAACCAAAAGGTCAACAAATTTGCAGTTACAATTTTTGCAGTTGAATTTTTTGCAGGCAAATTTTTTGCTGTATTAGGGAGTATTAGGGCCATGCTACAGTTTTTTTTTTTTTTTTTTTTTCATAAAGTTGTAATATTATGAGAATGTAGTCATCAGACAACAACCCGTTTCACAAAGAAAGCTTCGAGCTCCAACCAGCTCCACCGAAAAGCAACCTGAGTCCACTTTGACATACCGCCCAATTTGATGCTTGTCAGAGTTAGATGAGGATAGGAGCAGCTATAGGTTGTTTACAGAGGATTTAACTGAAACAAAGTTGTAAAATGTAAAATTTTTATAGCACAGTAAATGTTACTGAGTAACAATAAGTTGTCCAGTTACAATTTTTGCAGTTGAATTTTTTGCAGGCAAATTTTTTGCTGCTGAATTTTTAGCAGCTGGATTTTTTTGCAGCTGAATACTTTGCAGGCAATTTTTTACCAGATATAAATTCAGTGTAAGGTATACAATGTGTAAAAAAAGTCATTTTTAAAAATTCAGTGTAAAAGAAAATTCAGGATTTAAAATTTGTTGTACAAATGGCAGATTTCTATTGAGACTGTTTTTCTTCCATATACACCTAATGAGCATTGAAGATCATTCTTCATGTATTCATTTACCAACCCTAATGGACAGGGAGTTCTGCTCTTTATGCACGGTTAAACATTTTCAAAAAGACAAAAAAAAATGCAGCTCTTCTAATGTTAAACCCTTGCCATGAAAAGCAGAAACATAAAGAGACTTTAGATGTCAATGGGAGTACGGTGCAGCCTCTAGCAGCAGCTATGACAAATGGCATGAAACAGAATCCTACAGTAGAAGGGGCTACTGCTGATGTTATACATGATGGTGGGGTTGTTGTGCCACCCAGTAGCAGCCGTCCTCAGAACTTCATCCGCTGTAATCTTCAAAGATACTGATCCTCCATGTGTTGCTGGATTGCAACGCTTGATGAGCCGCGGGCAGAGTAACAGGTGGGGCCACAGTGAAGGCCGAAGGACTGTGAGGGGGTGGAGGGGGGGCTGCAGACCAACAACCGTGAGGTGGAGGGTTTTTCTCAGGCTTCCACATGACTTTCTTTAAGGGTTTTAAAAAAAAAGATTAAGTATGTCTAATGCTACGTTCACACCGCAGGCAGCAGAAGCAGCAGAAGCAGCTAGTTCAGGGTTCCATAAAACGTTTTAAAAGGCATTAAATTCCTTAAATTAAAGGCCTTAACTGGTATTTATTGTATTAAATCAGTCTTTCATAGGTCTTAAAATTGTCACCAAGTCATAAATAGGATTTTATTTTCGTAATTCATATAAAAAATTAAAATAATTCGCAATAATTATTTGACGTTTACCAAACGGCTTAGCTGGAACCATTATTAGTTCCATGTTGAGAGCAGAACCAATCAAAACCATGTTGCAAACAGACCTTGGGGTAATGCGCCAATAACTTTTTATCTGGACAACATGGGGAAGTGTAAATTTAATGAAAATTGGCTACCCAGCCAAGAGTTTTCTGCACGGCTTAAATTGGTACCAGGTAACATATGTGAGGAATGGCGGATTTTGAGCAAGAGGTCAATTAAGCTCGGCATAATGGGAATCAAAGCTGTGGAGTCAGTCATGTAAAGAGTGAAAAAAAAGCACCAAAATCAAGTTACAGAGAAGCAGCAGCTATTTCTCAGTTCTGTTCCACCCATGTCTCTGCAACGACGTTAAGAAAAGCACCAGTAGGACCAAATCTCCGGGTAATGTTTGGTGGTTCGCCTGCAATGAAAGCAGAGCTATTATGGACTTTGAGTAGGGATCAAAACAAAGTTTGTGAATTTCATTCATTAGTTGTTAAAAATATATCTGTTACTAGCGTGTTTTTTACAACGGAGTATTAGGGCCATGCTACTTTTTTTTTATTTTTATAAAGTTGTAATATTATGAAAATGAAGTCATCATACAACGACCTGTTTCACAAAGAAAGCTTCGAGCTCCAAC